GAAACTGGCTCTGAGCCCCTTCTTGTTTGCACTGGTGACGGACAGGCTGACAGATGAGGTCAGGCAGGAGTCTGTAAACTGTGATGTCTGCCGGTCACATTTTGATCTGTAGCGAGATTGTGGGGCAGGTGGAAACGTGTCTGAAGAGGTGGAGGTATACACTGAAGAGATGAGGAATTAAAGTCAGTAGAAGCAAGACAGAATACATGTTTTTGAATGGGAGGAAGACAGCTCACAACAACAGTAGCCTTGAGGGGATTTGTTGAACTGGTGCTATATAAATAAAACTGAATTGAACTAAACTGAACAGTGAAGCTATGAAGAGTAGAGGTGGTGAAAGGTTAATGAGTTTAAATACCAGCCATCCAAAACAACAGACAGTGCACATGAGAGGTGAAGGAGACCGTGCAGGTGAGGTGGAGCGGGTGGTGACAAGTATGAGGAGTGATTTGTAGCAGAAGGGTGGCAGCAAGAGTGAAAGGGAAGGTATAAAGATGCTGGTGAAACCTGTTATGATATATTGTTTGGAGATGGCAGCACTAATAAAAAGAAAGGAGGCCAAGTTGGAAGTGCCAGAGATTATTAGATTTGTGATTAGAAAGGAAAATATTAGCACGACAGCTCAGGCTGAGCGGTTTGGAAACAAAGTTAGAGAAGGACATGCAGAGGAGGGACAATGGATATACTTGACAAAGGGTGTTGAATATGGAGCTGCGAGGCAGGAGGAAAAGAGGATGAAGGAAGACATGCAGAGGGCTGGATGTAGCAGAGCAGATGGAGGAGGGTAGGGTGGAGATGAGCAGGTGTGGGGACCCCTAAAGGGAACAGCTAGAAGACGAGGAAGATTATGGATGAGAGTTTTCTCCAGTTTTATCAGTTAGTTATATTAGTCCAAAAACAATTTTTTTTTTTAAATTAAAAAGCTGGCAAGCTGAGTTTCTCAGACTTTACCCAGCAAACATAAAATAAGTGTTTATTTAAACATTTACTTAAATTTCCCCTGCATCCCCAAGGCCTCTGCAAGCATGTGCATGTTCTGTACAACCTGTGCTGTCAGCACTGCCGCCCGCACAGGAGGACAGGAAATCCTAATGATCGGTTTTACAAAGGCATGGCATATCTGAGTGCACAGTGTGCAGCCCAACGACACCGTGATGCTCTTTACCAGCATGCTAATACATCAGCGTGTGCCACCAGAATGCAGCTGGGAAAGCTGGCAGATGGAAAGCAAAACAATCCCATCTCCCACGATGCGCTTTGCTGAGACATGAGCATGATTTGATTCCAGATCCCGCAAGCATCCTCACACATCGCAAAGAGTGAAAGGGTGAAATAATCATTTTATATATGGAACACTGAGGTTTTCAGCTAAACTTTTTACTTAAACCTCTGTATGAATTAAATGTCCTATAAAACTTCATTCACTCTATCCAAAGAGGCTGATGGCTTTTATGTTGAGCTTTTCCTCATCCTCATTCCCTCTGTTGTGACTGTGCACTCAGCAAATTTTCAGATACCCATTAGTGGGTTATTACACTGTCCAGTAAAGGAACCTATTTAGCTAGGACAGCTCTGCTGAGCAGCACAGTATGGAGTGCTTTCAGAGCAAATTGTGGGCCCACCCACCTACCCTCCTTGCATATGCTATACATCACCGCTGACATGGTCTAATTAAGATGAAAACAAATGTGTGCAAGAAAGCATATCACTAAGGACAAATGGACACACTTTGCAGTAGGTATTTTAGGAGCAGACGTGACCACATTTTATTTGAGGCGTTTATATTTTATTCAAATTGTGTTTTTACAGTGATGATTACATGTGCAACAATGTCTGCCTTACAGCTGCAAGAAAGCAATACATAACTAAAAGTAGCAATAGAGTTTAATCTTGTGCTACTGTGATCAACAAAGCTGAAAATAAATCTTAAATCTGGCTTTTACTCTGTGGGTTATATACATTATAAAGGTGCCTCATTTTCTTTCTTCAGGTGGAAGTTCTTGATGCCAAGACAAGGGAGCAGCTTTGTTTTCTAGACAAGGTATGCTGACATTTTAACACAATTCAAAGGCCCCCAGGATACGTCTTAAGTTTATAATTATAAATAAATAAGGACATGAAAATGACTTTTCAATCTCACTGACACAGTGCTTTGTATTTAGTGCTTGAGTCTGACATAAAGTTGAGTTTATACTGACTGTAAACTTTCTGTTCCATTAAGGTGGAGCCCCACTCGACAGTAGGAGACATAAAGAGCCTTTTTCACAAATCATGTGAGTGCCTATAGTAATGTAGCGCACAAATGAGCCTGTTTAGATTTGTTAGAAGCACACGTGGCTGTAATTTTGTTAGTCTTGCTGTTACCTAGAACCCTGTCAATAAATAGAACAAGACTTGAGTTATACTATAATTCAATAAAACAGAGAAGATCAGTGCTCCTAGTTCTTTATTATCTTTCACTGCATGTTTACTGTAAACAAATCCTTCAACTTGTGGTTATTGGATAAAAAAACATTATTACACTATCTCTGAATGAAAAATCTTACAGTTCCTCCTATTAAATCTCTTCACCAGAGAGCTGTCCTTTTAAAAAACTATTTTTTATTTACTTCTCTGAAGCCCACAGTGCTTCTGTCATCAGCATGTGTCTGGTCAGAAACGTTACCAAATGTCTGCTGAGCCCAAGGCCATCGGCATCTATCAGAGTAGCAGAGCTCAACGTTATTCCATTGTGATCAATTATTTTTGGGCCTGAGGCCAAAAAATTGTGTGTGCGGTACCAGCTATGTCCAACACTGCGACTGTGTTTGTGTGTGCATACGTGCTCGTTTGATCGGCACAGATCCTCACTGGTATCCAGCAAGACAGGCCCTGAAGCTTGATCCAAGTAAGTGGCTGTGTTGTAAATCTAGCATTTAGTGTGTGTGTGTGTGTGTGTGTGTGTGTGTGTGTGTGTGTTTTATAGCATTAAACACTACAGAAGGCAATGTGGTCCCAAAGTGTCAAGACTGGTTACTCAGTTCAAGTTTCAAACTGTCTAAAATATTTGGACATCATTACCCACAAGTACCCGTATAGATAAGTATGAGATCTTTTTTCTTCGTAAAGGCCAACATCTCTACAAATACTCTTGATTTTAGTTAAAACTCATTTATTCATAGATACGTCTGTATTGGTCTGTATCCATCACCTCAGGTACTGCTGTTTTGCAATGCTACACTTACAAAACTGGGGTGGGACTTAAATACTGTATGTCTAGCTCAGTACATTTGAATCAAGCTGTGAATTTGGGTTTTGCAATAAATCAACAAAAACTGGAACGTAGAAATGTTTGGTCTGAGATTGTGTTGTACTTTCCAGGCCATAAACTTTTAGATACACATGCAAAATTGGATGCCACAATAAAGTCAAAGCTTTAAACAAGAAGCACTGTGAGAGCACAAACATCTTCCAAGGAAGCTCACTCTGTGGGCGCTACTTACTTTTAAGGGAATAATTTTGTATATAATACTTTGGTTTCTTTGATTTTTTTTTAAAAATATATATTTTAAGAAGTTTGTAGTGCAATAAAAATCAGATAAGGGCAGCATAGCAGATATTTACTTTATTTACAAGTATTGATTTGTAAGTAACTGGACATGAATAACTCAAGCTTACTGTATAATATTATACTTTCATTAAAAATGCAACACATTTGGAGGTCAACTTGACAGATAGGCAGACTTGAAATGTAAAAGTGAGGTCAGAGGTCAAATGTGAATAATATTTAGATCCAAATTATAATGTGATAATTAGAATCCCCCACATTGATATGATGTTCTAAATGTTTTCAGTACAAACAAAGGCAAAAGCATTTTTTAAGGAAAAGGCATAAGTTCTATGGTTTTTTGTCACTTTCCTGACTAATTAGTCATTAAGTTGATCATGAAGACTTCAGATGACCTCATTGGATAAGATACATTTTAGTGGATTGTTAATACGACCCCGCTCTACACCAGTAAAAAGTTTTGGCTAGGACTGAATTCATTTACCATTTGTTACTTGCATATATTGTTATTTTGTGTTCTGTTATCTAATCATAATGCTTTAATGTAAACACAGCGCATGTAACCTCGCCTCTGCATACTATCCCGGGTCTGTTTGTGGTAGCATTGGTTATATTCATTACAGCAGTGCAAAAGTTCTCAAAGCTAAATGTCACTTCATCATTAGTTGATTTGAATCTTTCATTAGTTTATGTAGTTTGGTTATACTTGTGTGTTCCTTTGTGCAGGTCCTATGTGTAAAACAGGTATGTGGGAGGGGGAAAATTAAGAACACTTAAAAGAAGCTTGAACAGTCTGCAGATGCCGTCTTCCTATCACTTTCCATGCTGCTTATGTTATGCTACCCCACACACATTAATTGAAACCTTTTTGAGCTATCATGTTTGCAGACAGAATCACACCCACATAATCACTACCAAAAACATCACCTCCATGGCAGAGAAGGTTTATGTTAGTATAGAAAGAAAAGTACGTGTGAGGAACACAGTTCCTAGTTACAGTTCTGAAAGTAAGCCTACACCTGACATCTAAATGTATCTTTGGTGCTGTCAGTTCAGTATTTTCAGGTGTGCTCCTGACTTGATGGAGAGCTAAAGTCCATCAGAAAGAGGTCAGAGGTAAAAGGTTTGTGATAACCTACAGTTGGATGCATCCAGAATGCATAAAGAGGATCACACATCTTCAGTCCCCAAAGCACTTTTGTAGTGTTGCTGACCACTCAAAGTGCTTTACACTACAAGCCACATTCAGTTTTTTCACACAGCACTTTATGCTGCGCTCTATGCTGTGCTCTTTCAGCCACACTCATGGCTAATTCAGATTCATCATTGAATCTACCCTGATGTAAATGAAATAAAGACAAACTAAACCTCTGCAGGTGCACGCTGTCTAGTGTTTGTCAAGCAAAAAATTTGATTAATCAAACAGACTAATGCGGACAACTGATGATATGCCACCTCCTAACCCTAAAAATATCCTTGGTTGAATATAGGACCATTCGCTATTGATAAAAGTTTATCCAATAAGTTCTGGCATATTTATCTTTACACTGATCCTGTACTTCAGTGAGCAGTGAACCATTAATACATTTCAGCATGCTGCTTCCACTATGAAATCTTTTGTCCATTTCTCCTTTATTGTTTTAAAGACCATTTAATATGCATCACTGCTCCATCCATTTCAGCCCAAATTAAAGCTGTAAAGGCAAATACAACCTAACCTGATGTATGATGTTGGAAGGCTTTAGTCTTGAATATCTGGGATCTACCTGGCTGCTAAGAATTAGACAAGAGAACTTTGGTTCAAATCTATTTGGGTCAGTTGCCCCTCAGGATATTCTAAAAATGCTGCCCAATTAGTAGAGCAAATTATCTGTGGCCGTGCCCCCTGGAGCTTGCAGGTAGAGAGAACGTGTGCTGAAAACCTGAAACTCTGCACAGCGCTGCCTGTGTCACTGTGAAGATTTCTGCTGTTTTGTCCATTTCTCAAGCCCACATTCTAGAGGCGATGATCTCTGTTGGATAGTAAAAATGTTTGTTGGTATTTTTCCAGATGGATTTGTTTGCCTAAAGGTTGTTTTTGTTCTTATACAGAGGGAAAATCACTCAGAGATGATGAAATCTTACAGAATCTACCAGTGGGGACCACTGCCACCATGTATTTCAAAGATCTTGGTCCACAATTAGGCTGGACTATGGTACGATTAATTCAACAGGCATATTGGCAGTTGTTTTTTTTAATCTGTGAAACATTAAAAAAGAAAGTCATCTTTTCTTCTGTTTTCAGGTGTTTCTTGCAGAGTATATCGGGCCCCTTCTGAGCTACCTCCTCTTCTATTTTCGAATACCCTACTTTTACTCAAACAGATATGCACTTAGTTCCAGCCCCCACCCTGTTGTCACGTACGTTGAAAATGAAATATCAACTACAGCACAAATTACGACAGACCACGGCTAAATTAAAATTGTTCTATGATGAAAACATGCTATTCTAACTATTATATATACGTATACATGTACTGTGCAAGAGAATGACCTGTTGCCAGAAGCCAGTCTTATCCCTCGGCTCTCTCTCTCAGACTGGCCTGCGTCTGTCATACCTTCCACTACACGAAGAGGCTGATAGAGACAATCTTTGTGCATCGCTTCTCACATGGGACCATGCCTCTCAGGACTATAGTCAAGGTGAGGTACGTCTAAAGTTAAAGAGGAGAGCTTCTGATAATAAGCTCCTCTCTTTCACAGTGTGTGGCCTCATTTTTACTGTCCTGCACCAGTTTTTGTTTTTTCATGTTTTAATGTTTATTTATAGCTACAAGCATGTAGCACGTACCACTGCCAGTTTCCAATGCCCATCCACACAAGGTCCTTGAATGCACTATAATTCATGAATGTCATAATAAAGCTAAACAAAGCTTCGTTTGGCAATGCAGAATACAACTTGCAGTCTCTACACAGTATCTTTGTGAGGACTGGAACTTCACTGATCATTTTCACATTAAGTATTTATGTATGTGCTCATTTCGTCTTTCAGAATTGTGCCTATTACTGGGGTTTTTCAGCATGGTTGGCTTACTATATCAACCACCCTCTCTATACGCCTCCATGTAAGTCAGTATGCCACATACAACATGTTTTTCTCCTGTATTTTCATCATATCAAAGCCAAACTGTCTTTCTCCACAGCATACGGAGAACTGCAAGTCAACTATGCACTAATTCTATTTGTGGTACGTATACTAATAATTACACATGGCATATCACATATACAGACTCCTGATTTATTTATTTCTGCTCTAGATGTGTGAAATGGGCAACTTCTCCATTCACTTGACTCTGAATAAGCTCAGGGGAGATGGTGAGTCGCTGAGCTTTGTTAACATTCATGGATGAAGCAGGGTCATCCATCAATTCAAATACTGTAAAATGAAATTGTACATATGTAATCCGTTCACTGGACGAATTATCTTTGCAGGACCCAAGGGTAGAAGATTTCCTATGCCAAATAAGAACCCCTTCACCTGGCTTTTCTTCTTTGTATCCTGCCCAAATTACACATACGAGGTAACACGCAGCATTCAGAACGGTTTATCTAGCATTAAATTTTCATTCATGCTTGAGCATAATCTCACTTTCTGCTTGCACACTGGACATACACTGTAGGTTGGAGCTTGGGTGAGCTTTTCTATCATGACCCAGTGTCTGCCAGGTATGAGCTTCCTTTCACCTTTTGCTGTCACCAAGTGAGCATGTCCATAAATATAATCCCCTGTGGAACTGCATGGTTGATGAGAAAGCCTGCATAGTCCTCTTGGTTATCCCCACATGTTGTATATTTTGTCTTTCAGTGGCATTTTACACATTACTGGGGTTTATTCAGATGACCATCTGGGCCAAAGGAAAGCACAGAGCCTACATCAGGGAATTCAAGGACTATCCCAGTCTCCGAGTGGCTATTATACCTCTGATTCTTTGATAATGGTTAAAGCATGAACCTCATACAAAGAAACAAAGAAGTCTGCTGCTGCTACTATGCAATTTTGTCTACAAATGAATGAGCCAAACTAGGAGGAAACAGAGCAATAATGTGGCTGTTTACGTGTTTAAGGCTTTAAAAAACATGCCGGAAACCTTTTAAAGTCAGCAATAATAGCAGTGTTTAATATCAACAGAAGATTGGATTTCTTTCTCAGAGGTTGATTTAGCATTGTGATAAAACTCAGAGTTCTTCCTGTCATATTAGCTACGCTTTAACATTTGGATTTTCTATGTTTGATTCTTTCAGAATATTAAGGAGTGTTTGAGAAACCAGCAAGGAGTGCTGACTGCATATTGGTTTGTTAGCATACGTTGTTGCTTTTTATTACGAGATGAAAGTTTTCTAGTTACATGTAAGTGAAAGAAATTGAGCATCCTCATCCTCATCATAAAGTGCCTGCGGAAGCAAACGAAGAAATTTGAAATGTCACAGCATCCATTTAAGAGTGCGACATCACTTTTAAGCTCTCAGGAGGAACGCTGATAAAGCAGGTGTTTAATCACGCTAAAGTTAAGCCCTTCTAATGCTTATCTCAGATAGTTTTCTCCAGAGAAGTGCAAACTGTACTGACGTTAATGTACAGAGACTTTATCAGGTAGTCAGTGATAAGTGCTGCAGTTCTCAAGCCTATATTGCCTAATCTCAGGTTAAAACTGTTCTTTTTTTGGTTATAAAAGTAAATGCAAGGTCTGAATAAAGGTCCACATCTTAAAGAAAACGCACTTCATTATTTATTATACTCTGCCTCACAGAAACACGTCATCATCTTCTAATGACACTAGGTGCTGCAAACAAATCATGAGGACAAAGCGCAAAAATTAAAAATGAATGGCATGAAGAGATCATATTAATGAAATGTATTTAACAGCGCAAGAAGGATTTTGTAATGATTATGAGCTGTATTACACAGATCACCAATAAATCTCATGATGCTTCGAGTAATACTGCATCAATAAGGTGCTAAGCCTTTGCTTCTCTGAGCCCTTACTCCACATATCTAAAGAAGGCAGTGAAAGTGAATCTTGCTTGGCATCTGAAGCAAAAATATATATATATACAATCTATGCTTTCTTTACACACCCTTTCTTTACAGGTTGATTTTTTCATATTTCATCAGTTAAAGGCCTAAAAGGTGAGCAGAACGTGGAACAAATAGCAGGCAGGCACAGAAATGCTCCACATTTTCCAAAACGTCAAAGCCCGCTAACATTGTTTACCGGAGAAGCAAAATCGAGCAGCATGCACTTTTGCCACGAGTAAAATCAGTTTAAGGGATCGACTTCTTCACAGGCTGCGCTGTGAGGTTAGAAGATGCAACAGATCGACTGCAACATTCAAAAGACTCCATCAAACGTGGATTTAAAACACAAAGGACTTCTTTTCCGCAAAAGTTGGAAACCAAAAGTTCATCCTCTGTTGGCATCCAAAAAATGATGCGCCTGTCACTGGTGTCTGTTGGGTTGGGAGGGATTTTTCTGCAGACTGTCTCAAATCAAAAGGTGGCCCCGATTATGCCGACTAGCTTTCAGTCCCCTCAAAGTACACACATCAATAGGACTTTGAACACTGGCTGCCAATGACATAAAAATGATCTCTTCCAGCTGAGCTCATTAAATTAAGTTCACCTCCCCAAAGACTTGATGGGTGTGGTATCAATATATCGCTGGGCTCCAGCAGCTTTTGGATGCAATACAATACTTTCATCCTCTCTTGACTGTTGCTTGGCAAAATTCACAAACACCTGCAGGGACAAAGAAACAAAAACAAAGATTTGATTAAAGCAGCAGGTTGACATACGCCATAAAATTAGGAGCCAAGGCACAAAACGCAAAAGGAGGTTAAAATATGACCGACGTGCAAAGTCTTGCAACATAATGAAATAGATCTTTTTTCCATTTTATAATTCATTGTGTTGTGCATTTCTGCACCTATTTACCTGGTCGAGAGTGGTTTGTGACACTGAGTAGTCCTCTATTTTGAGTTTCTCCTTATTAGCCAGGACCATCTGAAAGATCCTAGCCAGGGAGGATGAGGAGATCTTGTACTGTAGCGTGTTGTAGTGCTTCTCTCTCTGGATGCAGCCAGGGAAGGTACTTTCCATGAATGCTTCAGCAGGGTTCAAGTCTGGGGCACAACCGGGCTTAGACGCCCTGATCTTCATGGTGACCACGTAGCCATCGCCAAATCTAAAGTGTGTAAAAAGTCTGGCACTTTTAGTGAAATAGTTACTGAAAGATTGGTGGATAGGAAAGGAGGAAAATGAAGATCAGGTATTTTGTTATATGAATAAATAATAAAGTAAAATGACCAACTTGTATTTGAGATGCTGAATAGTTCCCAAACACTTGAAGGATCCATTAACCATAATGGCCAAGCGCGTACACAGTGCCTCACATTCCTCCATACTGGAAAGAAAATCATAACAATTAGATGCCGTGCTCACTCACATGTGTGCACACATAATACAGAGAGACAGGGGAGAAATCAGACGATCAGAACAAGAAAAAGTGTCTTTGTAAGTTATTTGGACACCATACACTGCTAGTATTGCCTCAGCGTAAGTTGTAAAGGGCATATGTATTATCTGGACACTGGGAGTGGGGACTTTAAAGCGGTAGGGTGGATGGTTTTCCTGTAGGAATTTTTAAGTGACTAACGTATTACTTCCTGCTTCCTAGTGAGATTTTGTGCATTGGTTTATGGAGTGAAAAACAAAATTCATTCACCAGGTGTGAATTCAAAATCCAAAGGAAAATAATGCAGTAAGGTTATCTCTGACTTATGGCATATGATTTACTTTTCCGTCTTCCTTTCTGCATTTTCTCTGGGAAAACAGCCCAGAGTATTAAACCCATGTTGCCCTATTATTGGGGGTACTGTACCAGAAGATGCCTCTAAGGCATGGGTGTTAAACATAAGGCTTGGGGACCAGAATTGGCACAGTAAAGACTTCAATCTGGCCCGCTGGACAGCTTTGGAAAATGCGAAGGAGGGCGTATATGTTTAGGCCTTTTTGCAGCTTTCGCTACTGATGAAGACCTGCTCTCTGGCCTTTCATACACCAAAGAAATTAAATATAAATAAATAATTAAATGGCAGAACTTCTTTACACTGACAAAAAGTGGAGCTTCTCTGGACCAGACCATTTAAGATCAAAGTGTGGCCTACAGAGTTTGACATCTCTGCTCTAAAGCAACGAAACGTGTCAGCATAAAACCCCCACGGCATAACACAGCTGTGGAACGTAGGGGTCAAGCATTCAGATTTTTTTGCTTTATATGTCAGTTATCCATATGTATTTGTTTATGTTAAAATATATGCTTTACCTGTGTGACGTGAGGACCACGGCTCTTTTGTCCTGAATAACACTCATGATGGAGTTCCACAGAAAACGTCTGGAGAGAGGGTCCATACCTGTAGTAGGCTCATCCTAAAGTGCAGGAACAATAAACAAATTAGCTTTGGCACATTTGAATTTTGTCCATTATCTGCTTAATATTCTTATAACTGTAATATCCACTCATAACCCACTAATCCTGTTATTGTTGGACTCACCAGCAGCACCAGAGCAGGACAGCCAATCATTGCAATGGCTGTGGAGAGTTTCCTCCTGTTACCTCCGCTGTAGGTCCCTGCACTGTGACCTGCATATTCTGAGAGACCCAGCTTCTGGATGGCCCACTCTGCAACCTAAGTTAGAAGAAGATAAAGTTCCCCATTTCAAAATAATGTCACAATAAAACTTCATCCATCAACTGTCAGACCTAGTTCTGCATCTCACCCTGCTGATCTCAGACTCTGGCACTCCACGAAGGCGAGCGTAGAGGTGTAGGTGTTCTCTGCCTGTCAGCAGCTCATCTATGGCATCAAACTGAGGGCAGTAACCCATGTTCTGATGGACATCCAGGATATTGGTCAAAATGCTGTGAGAGATTTATGCAGATAGGTGAAGTGTATCAAACCTTCTTTTTCACCCAGCATCACAGAAACTTAAAACAACGGCGATTATCAGCATCTAAATGTATTCGACATCAATGCTCAAATTCAGCATGGAACAACTGCGATGTACAAACCTGTGACCTGCAACCGAGGCTTCTCCTGAGGTGACATTAATGTCTCCAGTCAACATCTTAAAGGTTGTGGTTTTCCCAGCTCCATTTACCCCCAGGAGACCGAAGCACTGTGGATATTTGGAAGCAGAAAAAGACAGCCTTAGAGGTAACATACCGTACCATATATCAGTTTAACCAAACCTCTACAAACCTCTCCAGGTGATACTCCGACACAGATTCGGTCTACTGCAGGGATAATTGTTCCTGTGTAAGTCTGGTAAGAGAACATCAGAACAAAAATAAAGCTCAAACTCAAATCTTTCTCCAAAATCAGTTTTGTTTTTTTTGTTGTCCACAGTGTGTCCTAATAAAGACTAACACTGACCTTGGACAAGTCTCTCACACGTAAAATGTCATTTGATTTTCCACTCTGATAAATTCGCTGTCTTTCCTCTCCAACATCCACGTCTTCATCCAAAATGTGAGGCTTTGGGCAATCGGGTATCCTGCCAGCGGGAAAAAAAATTGCTAGTCAGTCATGGTTTGATTTGGTGTGTTATCTGGACAATGACTTTCATCACATGTGTAAATTTCAAATAGCATTTATTCATGTGTATCTAACAAGTTTGGTAACACATTTACTTGCCAGTTATTCAGGAAGAAGCAATACTGGAAGAGAATATTAATGATGAAATAGACAAATCCCTCAACACCCATGCAGAACAGGTTCTTCCCAATAAAATCCCAGTTATAGGGATCTGGACTGTAGTCCTCACCTGAAAATGTAGAAACAAAATTCCTATAAATCCTACTTTCCCAGTTGGTGCTTTTCATGTAAGTTTCTCCAGCCTTTGTAATGTGGAAAACACTGGAATGCATCAACCGTTAGATACACATCATTAATATTTCATGTTGCATCTTTAGTTCACATTTGCATAGCAATAATGCTGATTCTGTTCCAGGGGATCTTGTTGCCTAAGCAGTCTTTGCAGCAACACTGCAGCTGCTTCGGGTCATGGTGGCAAATGTATGGTATGAGATTTCTGATGACCTCTTTATTAAAAAGACATTGTAGGATATTTTATAGCTACATGTATTTGAGGGGTATGAGTCTGTGTGGTTCATAATTACCAAAGCGGGCATAGACATCACTTATAGCTTGGTTCATAGCCATGTCTATGAGACCTCGGCCCAGGCAGTAATGGGGGAACATCAGCATCACCCTCTTCAACAGCTGGTTGAACCCATACAGAGCCTAGATAGAAACCCAACGTGTAATATTAAGTTTGACATTAAAATTGGTTGAAGTGGTAGAAACAAACCTACTGGGCTTACCGTGTTGCTCTCAAACAGGTCCAGGATGAAGGTAATGGCACTGCTGTTGATGCCAATGAAGAGGTTGATACATGACAAAGAGACGTAGGCTGTGCTGGGAACACTGAACACGTATGACATGGGGTACATCATGGGTGTCACAGACCAGCTGAGAGAGAAGGAAGGAGATTAGAAAAAGGATCAATTAAAGGGAAAGCCCAGTGCTTGATGCTGATGAGAGGAAAACGCTGCAATAGATCACGTTTTATGTTTTTTTGACAGTATGTGCTCTCCAAATCTTTGCCAAATAAACAAAAATGCTGCAATATTTTTACTTGACATGGTATTTAATGACCCAGCCGGGCAATGTAGTGAAAACCTGATATACACGAGTTTAATAAGAATTCAGTGATGCAGTAGCTCACATTTAGGCCAGATGATAGGAAATATTTACCAGAGGAAGATTATAAAAACTCTACCCATGTAGACCAAACTCAAAACCAATCAATAACAAAATAATATTAGAATAAATATGTGATAGATATATGCAATATTAGAAAACCAGTCAGCTGTGAAATTAATTCAAGACGTATGCTTGAAGTTTCCTTTTGATTCAGATCTACTTTCTTCTTGTTTTGTCTGTATTTCACAAGAATGCAAATCTAATGTAGCTCTTAGAGGACAGGCTGGAGTTTATGGTGTGACATTTAGTGTAATTACATTAGGTTACTGCAGGACACAAATGTCTATGGAAAACTGGAGACATCAGAGACTGGCTGCTTTAGATGTCATTTTTACTATTTTCAAACAATGTGGCTGTGACAATACCACATTATTACTAGTGACTGCAGGTGACGACTAATTTCTCAGTTGATTAAAAGAGAAGAAAAAGTTAGAATGACTAATCTAAAACTAAGAAACTAACTATCGAGCTAAATTTGAGGACTGTTTGATGGGCAGTGTCACATTCTTCGATCGTGCTGTTTCACTGTGTGTCTCGCGTCATTCATTATGAACACTGCACGTTACAGTCCAAACGGTCGCAGAAGTAGAAGAATAAACTGATATTAAATATGATATGAAAACACTTTACGACAGATGCTTACATATTATTAAAATATCACAAATTAACATTAAAAAAACAAATAAATCGCAGATAAAAAGTGTTGCGCACAGCGTTGTGCCGTGCATTATTAAAGAAGCACATTGTTCTGCAATTAATGACAACCAATAAAATAACCACAATAAAAGTGCAAATCTGAAATAACAAGAAACAATAAATCATCCGTCCTTGTCCGGGGCGGCAGCCTAAGCAGTGAAACGTAGCCACGTCTTTCACCTCATTTGGGGAAACACCAAGGGTTTTCCAGGCTAGCCGAGGGATGTGGCCTGGGAACTCTAGCGTGTTCTGGATCTACCTTGTGTCCTCCTCACCCAGTAGGCAACCACCTCACCTGCCTCCATTCAATATGAAGGAGTAACAGCTCTACGATGAGCCCCTCCCGAATGACTGAACTCCTCACCCTATCTCTAAGGGAGAGAAAGCTCATTTAACCACTTGTCTCCACAATCTTATTCTTTTGCCTTCAGAAAATCTCAAAAAATAACAAAAATCTCATGCCTAGATTAACATTTTTCCACAATATTGTTTGGGCTGCAGCTCTACCTGGTGGCAGATGGCTGAATAACAGCTAAGACAGTTTACTGGCACTGGGAATCAATTAGAATGTTAAGAACTGGATTAAATGACTAGTACGTCTGACACCGAGTAGTTTGATCAGTGACAATTATTCATCTGGTCCTGCACATTCATAATTATTACACCGTTAGTAACTAAAATCCCACATGTAAAACAGTAAACTAAAAAGATTAAAGCTTACCCGTAAAGCATAAGCAGAGCAATTAATGGTTGGAGGTTGGTTGGTGAGGTGTAGCACTTCCTGTCGAAAAAGATGAAAATTTCCACCACCATTGCTGCACTGATGGAATAATTAACCTGAAGAGAGTTACAGAAATACCAGTGTTTACAAAAAGCTACTGACGGGTCTTCTTGATTGTACTGAAATCTCAGCCACTGTCACAGTCTTAATGTAATGCTGCTGCAGTACCATGTCCCACAGAAAGTTGGCCATCCAGTACACCAGTGGACTGACACCACTGACAAACTGCAGGTGTTTGGCCTGAGTGACCCTCTCCTGGATGAGATAGAGCACAAAGCTGGCTGGGACAAAGGACATGGCAAAGATGACACAAATGGCCACCACTGCATCCACTGATGTGGTCAGACTGGGAAAATGAGAGAGAGATGGATTTATTTTTTATTTTTTTTGAGGAGATCTTTGTGCAACAAATATCTTTTTTGGCTCTCTTAAAAAGCCCTTGAAATAAGATGGGGTGATAACTACTTGGCTGAGGTTGACTCACACAGTGATCTCAGAGAGCTGTTCTTTGGTGAGGTTCAGAGGATGGTTGATGGCAGTGATTCCATATTCAGCAAGGTTAGCGTCTCTGTGCAGGCTTGCACGGAGGATTGCATTGTTGGCCACGTTCATAAAAGATACCATGGCATGCCAGCCCTTATTGTTATACCATACCTGCAAAAAGGAATAGATGCTGCTGCTGATTCCTGATATCAAACTACAGCATGATCTTTCATATTGTGTAGGCAAGTTAATGTTAGAGACGAAGCTTTCATTTAATTAACTGACCTTGACATTGTTTTCAGTCTCCATGTACCTAAAGAATGTCCCTATATCCTCTAGCGTTTGTTTCGAGTATTTTCCCTGCAAGCACAAATTTGAGGCTTAAAAAATAATCACAAAGGAACAAAGTGATAAACGTGCAGAAACAGAGATACAGCGACAATGACTCAGACCCTCCACAGAAAAAAACATAGTATTTGGCTTCAAAGGCTTACCCCTGTTACATTGAGCAGTCGTCCCAGCTGACCTGCTACGTCCTGGATGGTCTTTGGCTCCACCCCTAAAACAGGGAGCTGTGCTCCCACTGATATACCCCCGTACCTGGATGCCACACAGAAAATCCCTTTGACAGAGCCTTTCAGTAATCTGCCTGCTTTCATACTTAAATTATTACCTTATTTCAACCACTAGAGGAAGAACCATACCACTGCACATAACACAACGTCTATGAGGTGCACTTCAACCATGTCAGACATTTCCACTATTTGGACTGAAATGGATTTTCCAATAAA